ACGATTCCTCCATATCTCCGGGCACTCCTCCACCAAGCAATCCAGAGGGCCGCGATGCCTACAGGTCCGTCCTCGCCTTTGACGTCCGCCGCCCAGCCCATGGGGGCTCGGCAGAAGGCGCGGGCAGCTCCCCCACCACCTCGCGCCGCCTTCTGGGCCCACCCACGCCAGGCCCCCTCTCGAGCCAGCGCGAATCCGTCCTCGATGTGTGCCGCGACTCTTCCGGCACCCTGCTCCAGGCAATGGATCTCCGCGAACGTGAGCCGGTTCAACCTTCGCAGCTTCCGACGCCACTGGGCCGCTTTGCCGCGCGCGAGCCCTGACGAGGCCAGCTCGCTGCCGACCTCGGCACGAATCGCCGCTCGTTGCCCACGCGCCACCGCCCTGGCCCTCGGATCGCTCAGCCGTCGCGCCTCACGGCCAGCCTCCCAGTGCTGCACTGACCATGCGCGAGTGAGTCGCTTCTGGGCTACCCTTGACATGCGGTCCGCTGCTGGGCAGGAGCACCTCTTGCAACTCACTGCGCGGCCTGGCCTCTCGACGCAAATACTTGCCCGCCTCTCGGTTGCAGATGTGGTACCGACCAAGCAGGTCGGCCTCCATAAACTTAGTGAACTTCCCGTAGAAGCAATTAACCTCCGCCCGGGGTGGGCATCTGCCCCAGTCCTCTGGGGGCGCCAGGTACCCAGCCCCCCCCGTGGCTGGCCCCCCCTCCACGAACCTCGCAGCACGGTTGCCGCTTGACTGGATCCAAGCTCTCGCTTCAAAGGACTGCGCCCCTCTGCGCCGCCTCCGATGGGACGCCCACCCCCTGCGCCACGCCACCTCCATGGCCGCCGGGGCCCTCGGCATCTCAATTCCTGCCGACGGCATCGGCCACCCGCTCGAGCGGCATCGGCCAAGAAATTGGGAAGGCGAGGGGCGTCGACCACCCGCTCGTCAGCGGCCCTCGACCCTCCCCCTATGCCAAGGCCCATCCTGCCAGGGCTCTCTCCCCTCTGCTTCTCACGAGGGCTCGGGCCCCAAGCATATCCGCCCCCGCGGACGGCATCGGCCGCCTCGTCAGCGGCGTCGGCAGGCGACTCGGGGAGGTGAGAGACTTCGACCACCCGCCAGTCAGCGGCCCTCAGCTCGCTCCCCACGCCTGGCCCTTCCCTGACGCACGCAAGGCTCTCGCCCGGCTCCTCCTTGCGAGCCCTGGGGGGCCAGGCAGATCCGCCCCTGCCAGCGGCATCGACCGCCCGCTCGTCAGCGGCGTCGGCAGGTAGCTCGGGATGGGGAAGGGTATCGACCACCCGCCAGTCCGCGGTCCCCCGCACCACCCCAATGCCTGGCCCCTTACTCGCAGCCTGCGGCTGCGGGGCTACGTCGCCTCAGAGGAAGCTAAAAACGACTGCCCGGTCACCTCCGGCGTCACCGCGACAACGCCGCAGCGCTGCCTCGCCCAGCGCCACGGCGCAGACCTCCGCCCCCAGCTCGGGCCGCGGCACCGACAGAGCATCATCACCGCGGCCGTCGCGCGCGAACGCGGGCTTCGCGCCGACAGCGCGGCCCTCGTCGCCCCCGTCGTCAGCCTCGCGCCGCCCACTGTCTGGACACAGCACAGCTAATGCCGCGGGCGCCTCGCCCACAGACTCAACCTCCCCCCGTGGCCAGCCCATCCTCGCCAGGGCCCATCGCAGCCTGCGAGTGGGGAGGGCCCAGTCAGGCGGCCTGGGTCGCGGCCCGACTGGGCGCCGCGCCGGGAAGGCCCTGGGCCCCTTCAGCACTGGGCGACGCCCAGCAGCCCCTCGCTGCCCCAGGTCGAGCCGCACTGGCCAACGCGGTACCAGCATCTCATCGAGCCTCCTGTAATCACGCACCAGCTCTCAACCTGCTGGAGACAACGAACCAGTTCAGCTCGTTGCCGCTGCCATTGTGGCACGTGACCACTCCTGGCGTCACTGTCATGCCGTCCACAGCCTGCGACCAACCCCACTCGTTCACTGTGCTTGCAATTCCCATCGCCACCGATGACGCACTGCACGGTGGCGCGGGTGAGGCACCTCCCAAGCTGCCCCAGGAGTCGATTCGACTCACAGCCCAAGCACATGCCCGTGGCCAGGTAGACCAAGACTGCCAAGAAGCCGCCGCGGACCCCGCAGCTCACCCACCGCGCGATAACCCGCTAGCTCGGAAGCGCAGGTCCCCGAGGCGGATCCCCCATGCCGACGCGGCAGCGGACGCCGATGGCAACACCACAGGGCAGGCCGCCTGTCGGTCCTCACCGACTCGCTGAAAGCGATATTCCAACCCTCGCGGCGGCAGGCCTGCTCGACTCCCGCCTTGGCGCCAGGCGCCACCTCAACCTCCTGCAGGGAGACCACGTCGCTGAACGCGCCCTGATGCAGCCACTTTATCATGCTCCTCCTGGACGTCGCGTTGGCAGTATCCAGCCTCCAGGTCCTGAATCACGTCGGGCACGCTGGAGCCTCAGACGAGCCCCGATCGACGGCTCCACCTCCTCCTACTCCTCCTCCTCCCCCTCCTCCTCCTCCTCCTTTGAGCTGCTTGGCGGGCGGAAAAGGGCTCCCAGGAGGCCTCGCACACCTCCCCGAGCCCGCGGCGTCCTCCCCCGTCCAGCTTGGACAACTTCACGAAGAACTCCGCACTCTCGAGGTTGACACCGCTGTCGTCGTGACCAGCTGAGCCAGCAGGACCAGCCCCATCAGCAGGCGATTCAATGGAGCTCTGGCCCATGTCGTCGTCCTCGAAGGGGATGATGACTGTCTCCGCCTCGACTTGCTTGCGCAGCGCCTCGGCCTTGGCATCCAAGGTGATCCTGGCCTGCTTGATAGCCTCCCCGGCTGCGCCGCCGTGCTCCGCCTGGACCTCATCGAAGGCGGCCATGCCCTCCAACGTATTGGCAAGACTGCCAGCGTGGGGGGGACTTCGAGCCTGGCGGGAGGCCGACTGCCTGGACCCGCTTGGTCTGCTCGAGTTGCGCCTGAGCTTCGCCGAGCTTCCTATCTGCAGTGGAAAATGCGTGGGCCTCTCGGGCCCTCTCCTCAGCCTCCTTCTGCTCGGCCGCACGCGCCTTCGCCTGCTTGCCGAGCCGCTCGACCTTGCAGAAACAGGACTGGAGCACCTGCGAGTAGGACCTCGGTTTCTCCTCCTAGGGCGGCACAGGACTCGGCTGCAACTTGGCCTTGTCGGCCTCTGCGAGGACCACACCGCACGCCCCCAGCTGTGCGATGAGGGCGGCCGCGGCTTGCTTGCCACATGCCACATGCCGCCTCCGTCCCTTCAGCGCCACCACTTGCCTGGGCGTCCACGGGCGCCGCCTGCAGCACCTCGGACTTGGCCTTGCCTCCTCTGCCAGCAGTCGCCTGCCTCGCGCCTCCTCCTCTGAGCACCCCTCGCGGGTTCTGCAGCTGCTTGGCGCCTGCCGCTGCTTCCGAAGCCCGCTGGCGGACCGCCGAAGGGGCTGAGTGGTTGCGCCCGCGACAGGACAGCCAGCAGGCCCAGTTCCCCTCCGCGCCGCAGACACCACAGCCCCAGGTCGGCTTGCACGACCCAGGCAGGATCGTCCCACCGCCGCCGGGCGCGCCGCCACCGCCGCGCGGCGAGGGCCCACGCTGCCACGGATGCCCTCCGCCCGCGCCGCCCGAGCCGCCGTCGGCCCACGAGGCGCGCCGCGCCGCGCGGGGGCCAACCGACGCGGCTGGGCCAGCGGTCGAAGCCATGGGAGCCGAGGAATCGGCTGCGGGAAGGACGCAATCGTGAAAGCTTAGCTCTCTGAAGGCTGCCAGTGCCCGTGCGCGCACGGCGCCTTGAAGTTTGCACGCATAAGACCCACTCCCTTGAGAGCCCAGAAAGCCTCTCCTCCTCAGCCTCCCCCTCCTCCTCCTTCTCCTCCCTCTGCTCCTCCTCCTTCTTTCGTCCTGATCCTCTTTCCTCCGTTGGCGGCGAGCGAGGGGGGGAAGTTAGACGGCGGCCAGGCTTCTCAGAAGCCCTCGCGCCTTCTGAGAAGTTCTCTGTGTCGTCGGGGAAGGCCTCTCAGAAGGCCGGAGGTCTTCCGAGCCTTCCGAGAAGGCCCGCCCCCTCTCACTTCCCCCCTGGGCTCGCAGGCGACCCTGTGGGCCCACACCGCAGGTCACTCTGGCGGCTCTGGCGAAGGGTCACTCTGACGTGCAGCCGAAGATGTTCATCCCGCGCCGCTTGTCGGCGGCACCAGTGCCCGAGACCGGCCTCTGGAGGGCCGACACGGCGGAAGGAGCGGGCGCCTCGATGCGCTCCGAGCCGCGGGATACCTGCCTAGGAGGACGCCAACCGTGCACCCTGCGTACACCGATCCTGGCCAGGCTCGCCCTCGGCCCAGGATCGGTACATACGCCCTCCGGGAGGAGGGAGGAGGGAGGAGGAGGAGGAGGAGGAGGAGGAGGAGGAGGAGGAGGAGGGAGGAGGAGGGAGGAGGAGAGGAGGAGGAGGAGGGAGGAGGAGGGAGGAGGAGGAGGAGGAGGCACGTGCACCGATCCTGGGCCCAGGGTCAGCCTGGCCAGGATCGGTGCAGGTACACAGTCGGTGCCCGCCGATCTGGCTCCCTCGACCCTCGCGGCCGCTCCGGAGCGCTCCAGAACGCTCTGGGAGCTCCGGAAGGCTCTACTACGAGGGTTCATCCCGGCCCAGGCCCCGCCCGACAACCTAGAGGCCTCCTAGACGTGGTCCGAGCGGGTGGGGTCGAAGGATCGCGCCACATCGCCAACGCCTCCCCGATTCATCGGCGACGTCGGCGATGCATCGGCGCACATCGGCGCAGAGAAACTCGGGCTCCACGTCCAGCCACATCGCCGATGCCTCGGCGATGAGGCGGCTCCACGTCCAGCCACATCGCCGATGCCTCGGCGATGAGGCGCGATCCTCCGACCCCACCTCCTCGGACCCCATCTGAGACGCCTTGAGTCTCGATGTCCGCCTCGAGCCGCAGGGCACCCGGGCCCCTGGGCCCGCTGGAGGCCGTCCTCGTGCTCGGCCTGCCCCTCTGGAGGCGCCGCAGTCGCCATGCCGCGGCGCCGCCGGGCGCGCCAGAGGGCGCGACGGCCCACGGGGGGCGCCACCGCAGCGGCGCGCGCTGCGCGCGCCCTGAGCGCCGCCGCGCTGGGCAGGGCGCCTGCGTGAGCCCAGCACCGCGGCGATTCTTGCGCGCGTGCGCGAAGCGGCGAGCACCCGACAGACATAGAGATCGCGACGAATCTGTTTTGACAGTGTTAAGCCTTTGGGGGCCCTCGCAGGGCACTGGACCGTCAGAAAACAACTTGGGATGAAAAACTGGCCCTGGGGAGAGGATCGGGACTTCCAGGACCCCCGTACTGAAAAAAGCGAGGTGTCGAAAGTCTGGGGACTGTGTGACACTGGCCGTTGTCATACCACCCCCTGGATGGAAACGTGATGATCGGCACTATGCGAGGGAACAACCCCTGGGTCTTCGCTACTCGATAAAAACCTCAAGCTTCGACCATCGATCGATCCCAAGATGACTCCCAGACAGACTCGTGACCCGCACGGAGGAACGGCGACGCAGGGGTGGACGAGTTGCGCGGTTGTCAGGACAGCCCAAACGAAGTCGCCACTCTTTGGCGGCGTGAAAAGCGACTGGATAATACCCTGCGAGGACTTCTCAGGCGATATCGCCACTCTCAAGCGGCATGAAGATGGATCTGCAATTTGTTTCTGAAGAAGTCCCATGCGAAATCGCCACCTTCGGGTACCATGGCAAATTTTCAGATCGCCCTGGAAGGCGATCTGAAAGTTTTGGTTGAGGAAGACTCAGGCGGAATCGCACTTTCAGACGCTGACCCCATTTGGCCTTCTTAATATTACTAGGGGTGGAAAATGCATTTGAAATTCCCAGATCGGCCCCAACTCCAACATTGTGCCCCGTGGGCTTAAGGGAGGCCAACCGTGTCTTTCTCAATCCCCACGGTCTCCACTTTTTGATCCAGCAGGTTGTAGGCTAACAAAGTGATCGTGGCCCAAGGTACCCCTCCTAGCTTTTCGCGCCTCTTTGGACAAACCTACGGCCTCTTCGGGGGTGCTCCAGAGGCCGTGTGATATGTTTTCCCCCGTGTAATTCTGGGAGGAGACAAAGGAAAGCTGAGGGAATGGTACGCGACAAATCTCTGCAGTGACGAAGGCAAAAACCTGCAATGGCCCCTGACTCGGGACGACTCAGGACTCGGGCGGAGGGGGGAAGAGGAAAGAGGAGGAGAAGACGAGGAGGAGGAAGCGTGGGCAGCGTGTGGTTGCCAAAAACGGCTGTCACGCGCATCGCCTGTTGATGATCCTGGCCCGTGCCAAAAGGAAATAAAGCACAAGCCACAATGAGAGGGAAAGGGAGAAGAGAAGAGAAGAGGGCGAAGAGAGAACGAGGAGAGAAAGGGAGAAGAGAAGAGGGGCGGGAAAGCCGGCAGCGACACGCAGAGCGCACGAAGCAAGACAGGGGCTGTCCTGCGCACGCAGCCGAGCTTCGTTGCAGGCGGGTGCCCGGACGGACGGGGCAGTCAGAGAGATGCTGCAGTGCAGCGCTGGGAGGGCGAAGACGAGAGGAAGCACGACAAGACAGCTACGTAGAGTCAAGGACAGTACTACAGAAACCCGAGCGCCAGCACTCGCCCACGACTGAGACCACCTAATAGTGATGCAACTGAGACTCAATAGCGAGGCGAAACGGTGCTGAACTAAGTGCGATGCCTGGAGCCGTATGATAGGTCTCCCTGAGAAAGCTGGGGCCACGTTGGGCCAAGGTCACCTCTGGCAACACCCGCTGCGGTCGTGGCCAAAGAGGTGCCCCCCGCCGCGCACAGACCAGCCCGTTTGGGCAAGACCCTGGGTCGCGGTCAGGGTCGCGACCAGGGTCAGAATCGCAACCGCAGTCGAGGTCGCAGCCAGGGTCGAAACCATAGTGGTCGGGACGAGGACCATCAGCAGGGTCAAGATCGGATTATCAAGGCAGGGTTCGATGCCAGGGTGAGTACAGAGTTCGGGACTAAAGCTGCGACCAAGGTCGCAATTCGGTCAAGACCTCGATCACACTGGGGCCGCGACCAGGTCACGTCTGGAAAAGGACCAGGGTCGGGACTTAGGGTCCGCGTCGCGGTTAGGACAGGGGTTGGGACAGGGTCAGAACTGGGACCCAAGTCAAAGAAACAGGGACTAACACAACCGGGGCCGCGACCAGGTCCACCTCGTATCACCAAACAGCCCGCGCATGGCCAAGGAAACAAACGAAAAACGGAGCGATGGAACAGTCGCACACCGAACGCAAATGCAAAATGAGATGGCACCGCCGCCTAATTTGGTTTGACTGGCGAGTCCCCCCTCGATGCTTCACTGATGCTCGCCCACTTCCCTTCTCACTGGAATCCACCCAGCAACTGTTTCTGTTCGGGGAGGCTGCTGGGGAAACGGCAACCCTCAAGAGTTCTCTGAAAGCAGGGGGGATGCTGCGAGACGGCCAGCGGCAACGAAAACGTCGCCGTCGTCAAGGGAGGCAGGCTCCGTCAGGGGTGGAGGGCTGCGCGACGCCGACGACGGCAGGCCCGAGCACGCGGCAGCCCTTTCTTTCGTCGGCGGCTAGGCAGAGTCACTGCGCCGGCGAGGAAGAGCACGCGACAACACACCGCACAGGCCTGCGCACCCCCGCGGCCGCGCACGGCCTCAGACATGCGCAGGGCCACCAGGCCCCTGCGCTCCGCGGGGAGGGAAAGTGAAGCAGGACGGGCAGGAGGAATCGCGGGAGCTCGCGATGCCAGCAGAGTCCTGCACACTCGAGCGTCCAGCTCAGCTCGAGGCATTTGCGGAGGTCACTGGCGCGGGAGAGGAGCAGCGCAGAGACGGGCGCGTAGGAGCGTAGCGGGGGAGGGGGGGGAGACGGGGGCAAAGAACAACGATACTTGTAGGCCAGATACGGAACGACTCGACGCGTGCGCATGAGCACAGGCGATCTCTGAGCTGGGCGACGCTGGGATGGCGAGAAGCAACGTGGCGAACCCACGCAACCAACCCACATGCCGCCGCCCGCGACCGCCATGAGGAGGCGAGAGGTGTGACCGACGATGTGTGAGGGATACTGACGCTGTGTGAGGGATACTACTACTTACTTACTTACCTACTTACTCACTCACTCACTCACTCACTTCCCTACTACTACTACTACTACTACTACTACTACTACTACTACTACTACTACTACTACTACCGCTACTACTACTACTACTACTACTACTTCTTCTTCTTCTTCTACTACTATTACTACTACTACTACTACTACTACCACCACTACTACTACTACTACTACTACCACTACTACTACTACTACTACTACTACTACTACTACTACTACTACTACTACTACTACTACTACTACTACTACTACTACTACTACTACTACTACTACTACTACTACGACTACTACTACTACCTACTACTACGACTACTAATACTACTACTACTACTACTACTACTACGACTACTACTAATACGACTACTACTACTACTACTACTACTACTACTACTACTACTACTGCTTCTACGACTACTATTACTTCAACGACGACAACTACTACTACTACTACTACTACTACTACTACTACTACGACTACTACTACTACTACGACTACTACTACTACTACTACTACTACTACTACTACTACTACTACGACTACTACTACTACTACTACTACTACTACTACTACTACTACTACTACTACTACTACTTACTACTACTACTACTACTACTACTACTACTACTACGACTACTACTACTACTACGACAACGACTACTACTACAACTACTATTACTACTACTATTACTACTACTACTACTTCTACTACTACTACTACTACTACTACTACTACTACTTATAAGTATAATTTTACTTATACGTCTACTTATGCTTATACTTCTACTTCTACGTCTACTTCTACTTATACTCCTACTTATACACTTCTACTTCTACTACTTCTCCTACTACGGCATAACAGCATTGCGTGTGGCAGTCAGCTAGTGGAACATGCAGCATTCTCGCATGTTCCTGCCTTATCTGCGCCAAGGTCAGCCGAGACCGCACTCACGTCTGACACTGCTGCTTCTCTCTCGTCGAAGATGTGGGGACTTGGTCTACTTGAGTGACGACGCGACCTCAAAATATAATCCCCCTCCTCCTCTTCCTCATCATCATCATCATCATCATCATCATCATCATCATCATCATCATCATCATCATCATCATCATCATCATCATCATCATCCTCGTCCTCATCCTTTTCCTCCCACTGCTCTTCCTCCTCCTCCTCCTCCTCCTCCTCCTCCTCCTCGTCGTGTTCCGAAGAATTGCTTGCACTGCTCGACAGTACTGCGCCCGAATCACTCTGTACAGGGGGGGAAATCGTAGGCCGCCCGCGGCCCAGACCAGCCCCGAGCGGCCGGCTGTTCGGGATCGCTGAGAAGACCACTGGCCCCGACTCATCCCGCTCAGCCCCGACAGACCATTCGCCTTATGTTGCTCCCAGCGCACTCAAGGACCACATCCCAGAAATAAGTTCGAGCACCCGGAAAAGTGTCGAAAGAGTGTCGAAAGCGTGTCGAAAGAGTGTCGAAACGGTGTCGGACGAGTGTCTCCCAGGGCCCGACACGCGAAAACCCTTGTGTGTTTTGGGTACTCTTCTGTTGCTCGAAATTCTTTCTGATGGTCAAGGCTAAACTGGGTTGGAACATTAGAACATTTGCCCATATTTGACCCGGCCCAGCCAACTTCTCACTACAAGGCGCGAGCCACATCTTGTGCCCTCAATCATCTTCCGTCGACCCTGAACGCCCGACCCTCAACAAGGCGCGTGTTGCAACTTCTGGCCTCAACCATCTACCCGTGTCGCTCCATCGGTCCTCGTTCGTCGACCCTCACTCCTCAACCCTTCGCCCTGGCACGGCGGGGAAGCTTGCCGACAGAGCACATAGACATCACCATGATTCACATGTCTCTCTTGTGTTTTACCAGGTCAACCCGGCTGAGTGCTCCTACGTTCGCATGCGACTCTACCTGGATGTAGCTGCACCAACTCGGCCGATCCTGATCGTCCATGTTCGGGGCGCACGGCCGCTACTTGTAAAGCACGGTAAGGCAACCATCCTCGCTCGCCGCTGGAAAGCAGCACTTCTGCAAGCCCCCCACAACGTTGCACGATCTCCACGCGTGTACCCACATGCAGGAGCTGTCCGACGCGAGCATGAGACCAATCGACAGCTCGACCACACCAGCTACGTGCAGAAGGAGCCCATTCATCCAGCAAGCCCCGCGAGCCACGCACCAAATGAACCGGCACAGAAGTCTCAAACCTCGCACGATCTTCGATGGGCGTGGCCCTGTACAACGCCAGCGCCAACTCATGGCGTATCTGCAACGCCGGCGATCTGCGCCTCAGACTTGGAACTGCCGCCTCGAAAACTGTGCACATGATGCAAATACTTGGGAAAATGGCACTGGCCAGGAGGGCAAATGTCGACGCTCTGCCTTCACCCCTTGCTTCCACGAAAGCGCCCAGGGCGCAAGTTGCCGCTAACGAGCCATGGACTACGAGTTCGATCCGATTCAGATACGATGCGAAGAAAGGGCCGCTGATCAATGTGAGAACCATCGCCAAAGAAAGGCCCAAACCAATGATCATCTGGCTCATGCTATCAGGCACTGACGGAACGAATGCGAAGAGCGCAGCATGCAATTTGACGAACAGATCAAAGTGGGACCATGCAGCTGTGTATTTCAGAACATTGTCCAGTGAACTGATCCAATCCGATTGACCCTTTAGTCGCTTCAGCCCGAGCCACAGATGTATTCTTACCCCGCTCTCCTCATTTACCATCCACTCACCCATCGGCGACATGTTTTCGTCCGTGTCATGCCCTGGTGGTGCCTCCACGACGACAGATCCTGGTCCTCCATGATCGTCGGTGGCGCGAGTTACATACGCGTCCGGGTCCATCACACCGCATGCTCCCAGCCTCGCCTTCGAACGGCCTGCATAACATATCAGTGCGGCTTCGGCCGCTACGCTGGAGCTCTCCATCAGCGATGGCTCCACAACGCCATGCGAGCACAACACCCCAACCGTATACACTGTCCGCCTGTCATGCTTGATGCACAGAACTTCAGTTTTTGCAGTGCGAAGTGCTGCGGTGCGCGCAGAAAAGCTAACTGACGGGACTACACCCAGAGCAACCAGCGCCGCAGCGTATGCACCCAACATGCATACCCCGAACGTAGCAAATCCAATGTATTCGGAGCTGTTGCAAAGGATACTGCTGAGCGCAAACAGACGGGCCTCTCCATCATCGAAGTCTGCATCACAGTGGAACAGCTTGAAAATTTCAACCATTGAACCGATGAACGTCACACGGACGATCACTGCGGTGCTTCTCGAAGACCACCGAACGGCCTTATCCTCCACCCCGCGCGCAAAAGCGACTGCAACACCAAACGCAATGAAGCCGAAGATTAGGGGAGAGAGGCAGTTCACCACTAACTTACAGCGTTGAGACAACTGGAAACCAAGAAGGCAATCGGGTCGGAGAACGTCAGTCAGTGACCGAATATCGAAAAAAAGAACTTGAAACATGCTCATGCCCTGCACGACCGAACTCTGTGACGAACTACGCCCGATTACGGCATAGAACTGGTAAGTTCTCACAATTTCGAGGGCACCTTCCATAAGAACTGGAAGTATGCAATCCGCTTCATGTGGAAACATTGCTGGTGTCCAGAGCCACGCCGAAAATTTGGCTGAAGCGCGAACGACGAGAAGCCACCCAAGCAGTGTGATGCCAGCCAACATGAAAAAGCTCGATAACGTCAGATCTTTACAAGGCTTGCACACACCACTCGGCGTCAGGAAGTGGTGATTTTCACAGAGGCGGCACTTTTCACCTGTATGGCCTTCGCGGCACTGATGCCCTGGTAGGCCACCCTCGCAGAGACCGCCCGGGTTGCATAAGTGAAGAGTCATGCTCCACGGTGCGCGCCAATATCCCGCAGGCGACCTCAGATTGGAAATTCGCCGTGCCCCCCTGGCACGTTGGGGCAGTTGCTAGAGTGTCAGGTGCTGCATGGTAGGGTTCCTGCAGTTTTCTAAGGGCCACCCCCGCCCCTACACCCTCGGGACGCGCACGGACGCATGCACCGCCCCCTCTTCCGGAGGCCCCAATCCCTCACGAGCACGACAGACTCGCGCTCCCGAGGCCCAGATGCCCCCAAGACGGCCCAATACCGCTCCAAGGCTGGCCACTTTGGCCTCAAGACGGCCCAAGATGGCTTCAAGACGGCCCACGAGGCCGTCGAGGCGTCCCAGAGAGCCACAAAAGCCGAAGAGGGCCTCTGGAGGCAAACATCAATGATTTCCCATAGATTGTTTAATATTTCTGGAGTTCTCGTTCCGACGTCCCCACCAGGACTGCCCCAAGAGCCCCAAGCCAACCCCAAGCGAGCCGCAAGAGAGCCAAAGAGGGCTCCATGACGAGCCAAGAAGCGCCCAAGAATGCCCAAGAGGGCCCAAGACGGCCCCAAGAAGGGCCCAAGAGGGTGAACACGAACCGACAGTTCGAGCCTTCCTCCCCAAGAGGGCTCAGGAGGCCGCAAGAGGGCCAAAAGGGGCTCCTAAGAGCCCGCAAGTGGGCCCGAGAGGCAAAAACCATAGATTTGCCGCAGCTTGTTCAATGTTGTTGGGGTTCTCGCCTTCTCGAGCTTCCGATGCTCCAAGACGGCCCAAGGTGCCCACAAGACTTCCCCGAAACGGCTCAAGAGGCCTCCAAAAGAGCTCCAAGACGGCCCAGAGGGCTCCAAGACAATAGGCGCCGAAGACTGCCCAAGAGAGCCTCAAGACGGCCCCGAGAAGGGACCGAGAGCGGATACAGGCACAAAGAATTCGAGCCTTCTGCCCTGACAAGCCCCCAGCAGACTCTATTGCGCCACCAAAAGTGCTGTGCTGGCACGATGGCGGAATTGCCGTAGGCAGCTGGATATTTGTTCCCAGGGGGCACTGCAACGAACGTGGGTACTCGTCATCGAGGCACGACTTGCACATATAACTACTCGCACGCTGCACCAACACGTAACTGGATGCGCAAACACACTCATGCACGCCAGCGGAAGCCTCGCGCAAAGTAGTCAACGCCGGGTCCAAGTCCGCACATTTCTTGCAATATCCGTTTTCAGAGAAAGTACCAATGGGGCAAGCCCGGCAGCCTCGTAAGGGCGGCGAGCCCTCTTGAAATTCAGGCTTGTCGAAACCGCTTGGACAGAATGATCGCACCAACGAAAGCTGTATCCAGCCGCCCTCGTGACCATTCGCATCAGAGCGCCAATACCCCGAATTTAGATAGATGCCTTCAGACACTGGCCTCAGCCTAACCAATCCCTCTTGCGAAGCAAAAGTGTAATCCCACCAGCCCTTTGGGCGTAGGTGGTCTAGAGTGTTTCCTCTGTTACCCCTCCTTCTTCCCCTTCGGGGAAGGGTTTACCCCTCCCCCTACCCCCTCCCCTGGACCTGGGCGGGGGGGTTCGCGACGCGTTGGTCCAAAACGGCCTCGGCGAGGAAGCCAAAATCATTGGTTTAACTAAGGTTTTGGCCCCATGTTGGCCTCCTGAGGGGGGGAGGGGGGGACCCTATTTGGGGACCCCTCCCCCTTATGATCGATCTCACCCAAGATGGCCCAAAGATGGCCCCCAAGGCTTCCAAGGGTGCCCCAAGAGGGCCCGAAGAGGTAGCCAGGAAGCCCCAAGAGGCCCCCAGGATGCCCCCAAGAGGCCCCCTAAGAGGCCCCCAAGAGGCCCCAAGAGACCCCCCAGAGGCACCCAAGATGCTCCAAGAGGCCTCGGCGAGAATGCCAAATCATTGTTTTTACCAAGGTTTTAGCCACATGTTGGCCTCTTGGGGGGGGCACTGATTAAGATGACTCCAAGAGCGCCTGGGAGAGCCCAAGATGGCCTCCAAGATGACTCAAGATATCCCAAGATGTCTCATAATGGCTCCCACGACGCTCCAAGATGCCCCAAGACCGCTCCAAGACGGCCCCAAGTGGCCGAAGAGCTCCCCCAGGAGGCCCCGAAGAGGCCAAAACCTTAGAAAATCTATGTGTTTGGCTTTCTCGCCTTTTCGCTTCCGATGGCCATCCGAGACCTCAAGATGGCTCCAAGATGGCCAAGAGCGCTCCAAGAGAGGCTCAAGAGAGCCCCAAGACGGCCCCAAGAGCGCCTAAGAGCGCTCCAAGAGCGCCCCAAGAGCGCCCCAAGAAGCGATTCGTTGGGATCCCGAGGGGCAACGCTAACTAATGCTCGCTTCTTGTTTGATCGAAGTCCTCCAAGATGGCCCCAAGAGCGCTCCCAAGGCTCCCAAGAGCGCTTCAAGAGGACCCCAAGAGGCGCCCAGGAGGCCCCAAGCCCAAGAGGCCTCCAAGAGGCTCCCAAGAGATCCCCAAGATGCCCCAAGAAGCTCTCCGAGGCACACAAGACGCTCCAAGAGGCCTCCACTGGGGACTCTTCCTCTGTGTGCTGCCCACTTCCCTGATCGAAGCAAATCCTTTGGGCATCGTTTCTGGATGAGCTGGTGGGGTTACGCGAAGCGTCTAGAATTAATGAAAGAACCACCACCGGCCTCGTCTGGATTATCTTTAGCGACACTGAAACCACCACCTCCGCCTTCACAAAAGTCGCCGTTTACCCGCGACCGCCCTCCCCCACCACAAAACCCACCAGCCCTACCTGGTTCAAGAAAGCTCTGGCAAACAGCACCGCCGCCATAACCACCAAGACTCAGGGTAACTTGTTCATCATGGTAAGCACGATCAGCGCACTTCAGCTCTGCCCCGTTGAATACCATATCTTGGCGTGTGTATCTGGCATTACTCGTGAAAAGTAGCGCGGCGTCAGCGCCAGAGCCCATTGAGGCATCCTCTCTGCAGCCCCCGCACGATAAGGCACAAGCCTGCAACAAGTCATTCACTTCTTTGCTGTCATAACCGTCTTCTGCTGCAACCTTCGCACAATCATATGGCCGCCAATCTGAACAGGAATAACCGTTGTGATCTTTGAAGCCCGCGGTGTCTGAGCAACAGTGGGTCCATGGTGTGCGACTCCCCTGACAAGTAAAACTTCCCCCGCCAGCCACGGCTAGAAGATGGTTGTCTACCCACATCGCTGATGCGCCTCCGCCTCCAACCAAATGATTGATTCCCATCGGATTTGAACCTAACCCTATGCAATCGAGCGAAGGCAAAGAAGAACCGTGCGCACTCCGTCCCACAAGAGCTGTGACATTAGTGTGTTTTCGAATGTCCATAACTATATCGAATGCAGCACCAGGCTTCCCCTCGAAGCTCTTGTCATTCGGTGATCCCCCTGATGCTCCTGCCAACGTGACGTTCCAAACGCCCGGCGGTAGTAGAAACGAAAAGCGCCCATCGTTAAATATTGAAATCTCATCCGGGAAAACAGGATTGCTGGAACGCGCTGGTCCCCAAGATGCCATGTAAGCGAGATGCGTTGCGATAACATTCAGTGCACCAGTTGCAAAACGGACTTCGTAAGGAAGACCTCCATCTCCTCCAAGAACGTCTACTTGCCATCTTCCCAGCTCTGTGCTTCTCCGATTTGCTTCCACCTGTGGCGCAGACACTGTCAATACCAGCCAAGATATCATTTGGACCATGTACCACAGCGTTGCTGGACCTGCTTGCATTCCACCTCAAAAATTATTCAGCTGAAGTGACTCCGGAAGGTGATGGTGATGATAACAATGTTGACGCCCACGGCACTGACGCGGGCATGGTGTTGATGATGATGGCGGTGGTGCTGCCGAGGACGACCGAAATAGCGATCATGGTGGTGACCAGGATGATGACGGCTGCTATCATAACAACGATACATAAAAACATCACTTGCCTGCTTTCCCAAATTGGACCCCGCCCAAGGGATCCGCACGAAGTTTGCACCAAGGGCCCAGCAGCCTTTTGTGAGCGCGGGCACAGCTCCCTGGCCCCCAGGCCTCCCCTCTAGAGAACCGAACTCTATACACCGACGCTATTTCCAGCCCTGCACTGAAACTCGCACAGGAAAGCGGATCCTGGTGTATACGGGATCCTGGTGAATGCATTTTTTGTTGTTCCCCTGGGAAAACGGGGAAAAAGTATACACCACACCACCCCGACGTCGTCCCCGACCTTCAAAAAGTCCTGGGATTGAAAAACAGCCCGTCACTGGTAACGTATATGCTCCGGTTTCCGACACTGGGACACTCGGCGCTCCACCTGTGGACTGCCACCCTGGTTCGTCGGGGGGGAGGGCGGCTCTGCCAACTTGCCCTTGCTCTGCTTCGTTTTCATGTGTTTCCTATCGCACTGCACGGCACCACTCAGCATCGCTGCGCAGTGCTTTGAATTGACGTGCTGTGTACTTGTTGTCTGGGTTTCGGTGCATTGCGGGGCTCTCAGAATCTGCATTCCGCCTGCCTTCCATTACACTCCTTGGCGTTGCTTTGCTTTCCATTCGATCGCGATACTGTGGTTGGTTTACTTTGAACGTGCGTCCAGACTTGAATTGTGTTGCGTTCGCTGTCTGATGCATTTTCGCACTGCTGCGCACTGCATTTTCGCTGTCTGAAATTACTTGCGTCGCACTGCTGCGCACTCTTGTCAGGTGGTTAGCGGGGCTCACCCATTAAAAACACAGTTCATCGTGGCAGCGGGCATGATACGAATCGGAAAGGTCGCCGGCCAAACCAGGAGCGCCACACAATTTGACGAGCAGTGGGCAAACTCATGAGCGACCTGAAGGGGGGCGCGCTGAAGCCAAAAACTCCCCAGGCGCTTACGCAGCCGACAAAATCACACGCAGAATGACGAGGAGGGCGAAGAGGAGCGATACGGCAACGACGAGAAACAGGACAATTTGGTTTCTTAACGAGGGACGAGTGCGAGGAAGAGCTACTGAGTGGCGACGTCTTCGAATGTACTCGTCGACGCAGCGAACAAGCGTGCGGAGACTGGTGCTCGCTGCTGTCGTCACTCTGGTTGCAGCAAGAGGTGAGGCGGGCCAATTGGCACTGGATACGAAGAAACTTCCCGTCCCCGAGCACGCTGGCCGTGCAAAGGCAGGGGCAATGTTGCGGGATGTAGCCAAAACGGCCAAATCAAAAATCCAAGACAACATGAGAAAGAAAAGGAAGAGAAAGACGAGGCCAAACAAGACAGGGAAGAGCAGACAAACATATCCGCCACCGTGCCTGCACGGAGTGGGCGTGTTACATGCTTGTCTGTTGCCTGGGAGGTGCTTTCAGTCTTCCTAGGGTCCCCCCTGCCCTCACTCGCAAGCGTAGTTTTCAAATCGCCTCCCCTGAATTCCTCTCGGGCACTCTTTCCGGCCTCCAAACTGCCAAGATGATCTCCAAGACGGCTTCCAAGACAGCAAAGACAATACCAAAAAGGATGAGGACGTCCCAAGACGCCCTCACGACAGCCCAAGAGGCTCCTACGACGGCCCAGGAGGGCTCGAAGAGGCCCTCCAGCAGAGCCCGAGGAAAACATTGAGTTCGGTAGGTATGAAGAAATTGTAAGGTTCTCGCCTGTTCGGGTTCCCAACCCCCTTAGACGGCCCTAGAGGCCTCCAAAGCAGCTCCAAGACAGCCGAAGAGGTTCCCGAGAGGGCTCCAAGCCGGCCCAAGAGGACCCCAAGATCGCCCAAGAGACGTCCACGAAGACCAAGACGGCCCTGTAGAGCCCCAAAAGGACACCATGACGTCCCAGAGAGGCCCGCAAGACGGCATCCGAAGGCGTCAGACGGGCCAAGAGCCCCCTAAGACGGCCCAAGAGTCCCCAAAGAAGACCCCAAGAGGCATCCGAGGATGCGAAAAAGATGGATGTCCCTTGGGTAGTTGAAAAGTGGTCAGGTTTCTCGCATGTTTGGGTTTCCGACCCCCCAAGACAGCCCGAGAAGCCTGCAAGATAGCTCCAAGACAGCCGAAGGTTCCCAAGAGGGGCCCCAGTCGGCCCAAGAGGACCTCCAAATCGCCCAAGAGACGTCCAAGAGGACCAAGACGGGCCTACAGCTCCCCAAGAGGGCACCATGCAGGCCCAGAGAGGCCCGCCAGACGGCATCCGAAGGCGTCAGACGGGCCAAGAAGAGCCCCCGAAAAACCAAGAGTCCCCCGAGAAGCCCCCAAGAGGCCCCAAAGAGGCCCCCAAAAGGCCTCCGAGGAGGCGAAAACACATTGATTCACACATACTCGCGGAATCCCGAGCGCAGAGTTGCGAGAACGTCTCAGGCCAAACTGACCGGCCCACCTCAGGGCAGGGCATCTCTAAGCCCAGAGTTACGAGGATGTCTCAGGAGAAACTAGTTATATCACCTCTTGCACGACATCTCTGAGCCCAGACTTGCGAGGATGCCTTGGGCGAAACTGGCCAGACAACCCTGCGCACGGCATCCATGATCGTGGAATTGAGAAGATATCTCATACGACAATGCTTGAAGCATCGCGCATGCAGCATCGCTGAGCCTAGTGTTGTGAACATGTCTCAGGCGAAACTGGCTGGACAACCTTGTGCGCGTCATCTATCAGCCTAGAGTTGCGAAGATGTCTCCGACGAAACTGCCTGTAGCATCTCGCACGGACGCGGCATCCCCTAGCCTGGAGATGTGAGGATATCTCAGACGAAACTGGCTGGACAACCTTGTGTGCGGCATCTCTGAACCAAGAGTTGCAAGGATGTCGCATGCGAAACTAGCTAGACGACCTCCGAATTTTGACGACGTCTGTGCGCCGGTCCCGCGGGTGGCATAGAGTCGAGACATGGCCCGAATGACGTGGATCAAGAACACGAGCCTCTTCGGCCAAGGCCAGCGTCCTCCTCCTCCTCCTCCTCATCCCAAGGTGGGGGGGGGGCCAAGGGGCGAAGAACAGAGGGGCACCCCTCCAGAGCTAAGGCTGCTCTTACCCCTCGTGCCAGCCGTAGCTTCTACCACAACGGGCTGGCCCTCAGTCAGGGAAGCTGTGTTAAACTACGATCAAGAAGCATGTGCGAGCGGGAGTGGTAGGAGGAGACGAAAAAGGAGAAACGGACATGAGAAGAATGAGAAAAGAGTGATGAATTCGATAAATCTGACATACGCGTTGCGCAGACAAGACGGAACAGCCAGACAACCTCTTGGACAACCCCGCGAGGATACGCACAACCCTCCCCGGACAACGCCCCCTGGATAACCCTCCCCTACAGTTGTCCCATACAACATAATACATACATACAGACAGACATACATACAGACATACAGACATACAAATGCACATACCAACATACATGCATACATACATACATACATGCATACATGAATTCATGCATGCATGCATGCATGCATACATACATGCATACTCACACGCATACACACACACCTACATACATGCATGCATGCATACATACATACATACATACATACATACATACACACACATACATACATGCATACAGACAGACAGACAGACAGACAGACAGACATACATACATGCATATGCGCATAGATGCAGCCATACATACATGCATGCATGCATACATACATACATATACACACATATATGCATGCATGCATGCATGCATGCATGCATGCATTCATGCATACACGCATGCATGCATGCATACATACATGTGTGCATGCAGACATACATACATACGTACACACACACACATACATACATGCATGCATGCATGCATGCATGCATACATACATGCATACACATACATACACATACATACATGCATACATATATACGTGCATATATGCATACCTGCATACATGCATACAAGCATACATGCACGCATGCATACATACATACATGCATAGAAGAATGTATGCATCCATACAGACCTGAAGACATACATACACACATATGTACACACATGGACACATACACGCACATACACACAAGACATGTAGCTCGCTGCGCTTCCCTGGCCAAGGTCTTGATATCAGCCGCGGCGTGTGGGATGACGGGATGGGAACGCACAGGCGCGCGCGCGCGTGCGGCGTGCAAGCACAAGAGGGGTTTGGAAGGTCTTGGGTTCAAGAGCTGGGGGGCCTAAACTCGGCCTGGGCCTCCGGCAGGGGAAACTGCGCGCTGCGCCTGCCATGGGCGTGATGATTCGGGTGCGCGGAGGCGGGTAGGATGCGAAGGTCAAGGGGTGTAGCTTCTGCACCGCAGGAGCTGAAGAGAGGACTCAAAGTAAGATGGAGTGGGGTTGGGAAGGCGAGGGGGGGAAGAATTCACAGTGGGCACTTGAGGTGAAGGGGTGAAGCATGGATAGGGCTGGGTTGAAAAAGTCGCGGGGGGAAGCGGAGACCCTCCACGTGGGCTTTTCTTGGGCATGTCCTGGGTCCCTCGGAGCCTTCTGAGCGGCTTGGGCTCGGACAGGAAGTGTCTGACACGGTGTGGCGAGAACGCGAAGCGAACGCCACCACCACCACCACCACCAGAATGAAGGTCTCCTGGGTTACCAAAAGTAGGCCAAAAGACGAGGCGCACGACGACCACCACCGCGAAAAAATATCGGGCTCTGGGGGCCGAGGAGGGCGACAGGGCTGGAGCCAAGCTCACGGGCAAGCTAGGGGAAAGCGGGGAGGCGAACGACGACCGCCACCACGAAAATGAACCTGGCGCGACCCGAATGAGGGGAAAGCGTCCAACCACATGGGCGCATTGCGTGGCGTGGCGTTGTTTGGCATTGCTTGGCAAAAATTGTTTGGCACTGCTTGTCATGATGGCTTACAGGTTGATTGACACTGTGCGGCATTGCTTGGCATTGCTTGGCATTGCTTGGCAAATTGTTTGTCATTGCTTTGCATTGCTTGGCATTGCTCGGCATTGCGTGGCGAGGCAGCAAAGAACCAAGGAATAGGGATCAAGGAACCAAGGAAAAAATGGAGAAAGGAACTGAGGAGCCAAAGAAACCATGG